CAATAACATTGTTAGTTGCCACTGGAACCCTCACTAAAGAAAAAATAGAACCATGAGCTCTGCAAACATGAAGGAATGAGTTTTGAGGTGGGAAATTGGTAACAAGAGAGGAAGTTTGGCAAACAAGTACCCTTGTACGCAACATTGACTTCCAGCCCCCAAGGGTGGGCAGGAGACCTACAATCTCTTGTAACTGTGAGTAAAGATTTAGAGAGGTGAACCCCTGAATGTGTGCATGTGGGCTTTGAACCTCAGCCTTTTTCTTCACTTCCCTCTGCAGCCTGCAAGTCAGTTCTTGCACAGCTCTCCCTCCCTTGGAGAGTGCAAACGCTGGTCCTCTGAGTGTGGCTGGAGGCCCTGGACTTGCCCAGCAGGTTTTGGCTCATTCAAAAGCCTTCCCTTTGTGAGTCCTGATAGCTAGCAAGGCCCAGAGATTTGGGAATGACTTGATTTAGCATATATTCCATGTTGGTGAGATGTTAACATGAAAGGGTTGGCTAAATTTCTCATCTACCAAGCACCAAAATAGTTTTGAGGTTTTTAAAAATATATCAACCAAAGCAACAAACCCATACTGAGAGTCTATTAAAAGCCAAGAATTAGGTTAAGGACTATGGAAAATCCAATTCAATGAGCCACCCCACCCTCCTTAAGGAGTTTTAGTATTATTTAAGAAGATAGACAAACAAATTTTAAAAGCTACAATTCACAAATAAATGCTGTATCAGTGAAACTGTTGGTGTTTACCTCGATATTTAGAAGGGGAACAAAGGGGGCCAGACACTGAGCTTAATAAACTGGGAAGAATGAGGCTGTTTCCTTCACTAGGAAGCTCCTGTTCCATGTCCCCGGGGATTACAACAGTGCTCCACCAAGGGATTAACACTCTCCCCTTTCCCCATCCTGTACAGGTTTAATGGGGGGTGCAAGGAAGGTGCTGAACCATAGAGGCCTGTCAGTCTAGCTAGGGGTTATAAACCTCTCCAAAGCCCATGAAAATTTGGTAAACTGCTTGGTTTTTTGGAGAAAACACTTGCTCCATCCTAAACTCAAACTACTGGATACTTTGTCCCAGGGGAACAAAGAAGCTCACTCTCTCTTGCTTGTGACCTGCATTCATATGGTGCCCACGCCTGTTCTTCATGGCCACATGGTCCTAGCAGTTACATGGCCCATGGCCTCCAAGAGGGAGCCTGCACTTCGAAACACAGCAATGGACTGCAAACTGGAAACATACACTAAGCTAGCTGGATGCTCGACTCGACTGTACTTTAATATGGGCAGAAGCTCTGGCCAGTGGCCTTCGTCCTGACCCTCCTGAAGACAAGATTGGACCTTTTCCATGATGAGGTGGACAGAGATGGGACCATTGGGAAGTCAGGAGGGGAACCTCCTTAATTTTACATCATCAATAAAACTCCTGCGCAGGTCTCAGGAAATTCTTTTCCTTTAGACACCACAAGAACTCCACTACCACTGATAACAAAACTAGTAAGAAGGAGCAACTCATCAGAGCTTGGAATCATGAAGTCCATTCCAGTATAGTTTGTATCTTCCCAGTGAATGCCACAGGGCCTGTTGTGTAAATTCATAAATATTGTTGCATACACGAACTAAAGGGTAAGAATGAATAAGGGAATGCAGACTGAGACATCAGTTTCTAAAAAAATTAAATACATTTTCCCTGTTCTTTTCTTCTTCCTGAATTGATCATTTGCTAGCCTCACATTCCACATAGCAAGCACACTGTTTTTCACTCTGACTCACAGCTGTTAGGCTCTTACAGTGCACATCTCCCCTCACTCTGCTTCCAATAGGCTTTGCTGGGTGGGGAGAGCTTCTTGTATATTGGTAGCTATATATCTGCCTGGTGTTTCCCTCATCCATTAGCAGATATACTGAGATGAGTTCTGTAACTTTAGAAACAACTGTTGCCAATTTTCTTATTGAAGAAAACAAGATGGGAGGAGGAAGAAAGATTTTCAGAGGAGATGGCATAAAGAAGGTACAATGACAGGAAAGAACTGAACATTCTGGAACAATATGATTATCTAGTATCCTGCGGTTGGCTAGTCATGCCCTAAAGCAGTTATTTTCAACCTTTTTCAACTCATGGAACATGTAAACTAATTACTAAAATTCTGTGGCACACAAAAAAATGTATTCTTTGCTGATCTGACAAAAAAAGTAGGTATAATTTTTATTCATTTACACCGACAGCTATTGCTGTGTTGACTGTTGTCATTTTTCATTTGACAATCTAAGGAAAAAGAGATCAGTGCCCCTGACTAAATAGTCAGGTATTGCATGTTTTAAAAATTCTGGTTGAAAATTACATGCCCTAGAGCAATGTGGGAGGAAGGAGCACAAGGACCTGTGCTCTGTTCCTGTGGGAGGGGCTTGACTGCAGATCATAAGCAGTTGTGTCTTACTTTAATAATATATTCAACTGGACAGAGTAATAAAATGGCTTCTAAAAATGGGGAAATAAAAACTGTTAGAGTCTATATAACTCGATTCCAGAGCTTAAACACTGTTCTGTTCAATTAGCACTTACAGAGTGCCTATTAAGTGCCCACTCACAAAACCTTTTCGTTGTCTTTCATTGTGTGTGTGTGTGTGTGTGTGTGTGTGTGTGTGTGTGTGTGTGTGTGAGAGAGAGAGAGAGAGAGAAGGAGAAGCCTTTGAGGAAAATTTGTGAAAGACTTTGAAATAGGCAAATTTTTAAAAATGCTTTAGAATTCCAGATGTCCTTTTAATGGAATACTAGTGTTGCCTAGTATACCTGTCAGGGTTTACCTTGTTCTGTAGGGTCTGTGCCTTTCATTGTCTTTGCGCTATTTCACAACTCTGTAAATTTTAGAGAATTGATGGTGATGCCAACAATTCCTGTTCATAGAAATACAAATGAATTTTGTCAAGGTGAATGTGCTATTGGTTCTATCAATGGAAGAGGCCAGTTTTGCCTCTATTACCAAATTTATTTCAGTGCTTTTGATGGCCTGTACAGATGTCTGAACTCTGAAGTTTCCTTTGAACTGTTTTTACATCTTACTGGTTTTCTCATTAAGTAATGAATCAAATCAAATATTTGACACACATCTATTTTATATTTGTATAAAAGTTATATTTTATTTATTTTTAAAAATTATCCTTTACCATTAGAAAAATAAGCTAAATGAGGTCATGGAGAAAATACAAGGATCCAGCACAAATAATGCCCCTTTTTTATTATATAAAAATCTTTTATTACAAAATCATAGGCATGTAATTTTGTAACATAACAATATCACACTCAAGCACACCACATGACATTTTAGGTGCAACATTCAAATTGCTGTCTATCTCATGTGAGACATTCATGTAACGTACCAACAACACTCAATGGCCTCACTTCTGCCAGACCCTGTAGATCAAATACAAGTCTGTAATTACAAAAGATGGTGTTTGTTTACAAAATAAGTATTAAAACTTTATCTACTGGAGCTGGAACTATAAATACAGCATGTTACTATCAGTTTTCCTTTAAGAACAGCAGTCCTAAGTCAGAGAAAAATTTGACATCTTCATTTTTTTCCTTCACTGTCAGTGGGTATTCATTGCCATATCAATGGTATGGATGGGGGGGCAGGGGGGAGGGGCAGGGGAAGGTACTCTTCCTCTACCCTCTTAAGTCAGTAACTAGGCTTGCAAATTAAACTGGCAAAAGATAGATTAACAGAAGGAAAGGGTTATTTTGTAAAACTCTAAAGAAGTGATTAGGCCTAGGAACTTATTTATCATTTTAACAAAGAGTGATAAATTGTGGAGAAGTGTCTACACAAAGAATAAAGGGTTTGGGCTTCAAGGGACAGTAAATTGTGGAATGGTAAATGTGTGGGAAAAATTAATGGAAGATAGGAGTTATTTCAGTAGGGTTTGTTTATGTAGGCTCATCTCAGTGCCAACATTTTGTCTCTTGTGATAAGGATTGTTCTCTTGGTGCCGGAGATGGGAGCCGGCAATCCTTCACAAAGAGGAATTTACGTTACCTTTACAAAAAAAATTTATGCCCTGCTTTTAGTTGAAAGCAAAGAGCAAAGAGTTCCTCCTGTGCCTGCTATTTTTTCGTTGCCTTCAGCTCAAAATAATCCTTGTGCCAAATTAGCATATTTGGGGATATTCAATTTTGATCCCCCTCACTGACATAACTTAGACTGCTTACCTGTGCCTGCTCCCTAATATCAATATAATATTTAAATTATTTCTTCTAATAAAATCCCTCAAGATCCCCTTTAAAGCTTTCAGAGCCAAGTCTACATTTCTGCATGGCTGAGCTGCCTCCCTTTACTTTCTCATCTTATCTAGTTCCTAAGGTTTCTTGCCATTAAGGGTCCACAGAAGATAAGCTAGGTTAGATTAGAACTGCTGCTTTAGCCAAAATAATTAAAAGTTATAACTGATCATTCTCCAGAGGACTTGAATAATATACAAACGAACTCCTTCAATTTTGACATGTACAGTATATGCAGTGGTTCTAACCTGTATGTGCTTAACCACTATTCTATTTGGCACCTCTATATACTAACGAGGGATGAGTTCTGATATGTTAACTGGGAAAAAAAGCAAGGTACAGAACAGGGTCTATGATATTCTTCTTTATGTGTAAAAGAGGTAGGAGATAAGAATCTGTATTAGAATTTGCTCGTATCTGATAAAAAAATTTGGAAAGATATTTTAAAATGAATAAAAGATGGGGAGAAAACTGGGCATTTGAGAAACAAAGATACAAGAGAGATTTTAGGTTGTATACCATTTTAAGAGTTCTGCTATTTGAACCTATGACTGTATTATTATTTTTTTAAATTAAACATTTTTCCAAAACCTAAAAAAAAATTGTGAAGTACAATGTAGGCCACTAGAGCTTTTTAAAGTTCCAGTTACAACATGTTACAGAAATAAAATAAACATTAAAATAAAATATGAACTGTAAAATTATTTGAGTGTATCTATATTTGCAGATGCTGTGTGTATTACAGAATGATGAATCAGAACCACAGTCTGAGAAAGCTGTGTGCACCAAACAGGTGAGTCCTAGCACTGAGCACACAGTTACTATTGAGCAAAAGCAGTATTATGTATGACTTTTAATTAGAGAAGGAGGAAGGGTGGGAGGGAGAGAGAAGAGCAAATGCAGCAAAATGTTTAAAACTCTGGTAAAGGGTATATGAGTGTTATCCTTACTATTCTTGCAATTTTTCTATAAGTTTATTTTTTAAGTAAAAGCCTGTTTATGACCAAAAAAAAAAAACCAAAGAGGAAGCAATATATCCTACTTAGAACTTAAATGCCAGGCCCTATGCTGAGTATTTGTGGCAAAAATGAACGTTTTCCAAATATCTATTCTTTGGTTCTTCTGAAAGTAATATAAGCCTGATTTTGGAGGGGAAAAATCCTGCCAACTGTTTTTTAAATAAAGTTTATTAGAGGACTGCCATTCATACACACACACACACACACACACACACACATTTTAATGGCTGTTTTTGTGCTGCAATGACAGTTAAGTAGTTGCCATCAAGACTATCTGGTCCATGAAATAGAAAATATATACTGCTGGATCCTTTACAGAAACAGTTTGCTGACTCCTGCTTTCAACCAGTAGATCTCAAACTTTGTGAGCATTAGACACACACACACACACACACACACACACACACACACCCCTTTTCTGAATCATTTCTATGAAACCCCTTTACCCCCTAAGTGTATATTTCCTAAAGACAAGGACATTTCTTGCATAAACAAAATACAGTAATCAAATTCAAGAAATTTAAAATAAATACAATACTTTTACCCAACCTATGGGTCCACATTTCAAACTGTCTCAATAATGTCCTTTATAGTATTTTTCCTTCCAATACAGACTTGAGTTCAGGACCACATATTGCACTTTTGTGTCTTTTTTTTTTAGTTGTTTTTCATATTTTTTCTCCCATTTTCAATAGGATTTGAAATCTTTTTGTTCAATTTTTAGAAATTCTCTGTATATTAGAGATATTTATCTCTGACACATACTGCAAATATTTTCTTGCATAGTTCTGCACATGAAAAAGTTGTTTATGACATAGTTCTGCACATGAAAAAGTTGTTTTAAATGTAGTGAAACATCAATATTTCTGAAAATGGATTTTAAGTCATAGTTGGAAGCCTTTTTTACACTTATTTTTTCTTTTACTATTTGCATAGTTTCACTTTTTACATTTGACCTCTGATTCACTTGGAGATTTCATTTATGTTAGGTATGAGGAATAACTCTAATTTTATCTTTTTCCAAATGGTTACCCAGTTGTCTCAACAGCATTTATAAAAAGTCCATCTTTGCCCCAAGGATTTGTGATCTCATAATTATCATATATGAGATTTCCATATGCAGTTGGTTCTATTGCTGGACTTTTAATTCCATTTTATTGGTCTGTTTGATTATGCATGTGCTGGTATCATATGGCTTTAATTATAGAAGCCTTGCAGTATGTTTTAATAGTGGGCATGACTAGTTTTTCTTATAGCTCTGACTTTGCCATGTTTTCCTCAATATTCCAGGATGTTTATTTTTCCGTATGAACTTTATTTCATATCAGCTTGTCTAGCTCCAGAAAAAAAATGTTGGTGTTTTTATTAGGATCACATTTAAAATTCTGAATCAGGTACAGAACTAATATCTTGAAGAATTTGAGACAAAAATAAGGGACAAACTCTTCCTCTGATGGAAACAAAAGAAATGGCAATAAGTTGTTCCCACAAACCACCCTCCTCCATTAACAATTTGGAATTGTTTGAAATTCATCCTTCTAGACATTTTTCACAGATATAAACTTTACATATTTTTGTATGAAAATCAGAATGGCATTATGTGTACTACTTTACAACCTCCTTTTTTGGTGTAAAATAAATTATAGCTGTGTTCTTTCAAATAGGTGCATAGCAATAGAACTTACTCCTTTAAAATAATACTCACGGTTGTAGCCACTTTGGGAAATAGTATGGAATTTCCTCATAAAACTAAAAATAGAACTACCTTTTGATCCAACAATTCCACTGCTGAGATTATACCCTAAGAAACTGAAACAGCAATTCAAAACAACTTATGCACCCCGATGTTCACAGCAGCACAATTTGCAATAGCCCAGTGCTGGAAAAAGCCTAAGTGCCCATCAGTAAATGAATGGATCAAAAAACTGTCATACATTTACACAATGGAATGCTATGCAGCAGACAGAAAGAAGGAATGCTACTTTTTGTGACAGCATGGATGGAACTGGAGGATATTATGCTAAGTGAAATAAGCCAGGCAGCAAAACACAAATACTGTATGATCTCACCTATAAGAGGAACCTAATGAACAAAACAAACAAACGAGCAAAATAGCATCAGAGGCATGGAAACAAGGAGCAGACTGACAGTGACCAGAGGGAAGGAGAGATGGGGTTAATGGGAGAAAGAAGGAGAATGGTCTAGTCAAGGAACAAGTATTAATGACCCATGGACATGGACAATAAATTGGTGATTGACTGTGGGAGCAGAGCGTGGGCAGGGCAGGGGAAAAATTGGGACTGTAATAGAACAATAAAATAAAAGAAAATTGGACTATAAAATAAAAAATAATATTTAAAATGTCAATAAATTTAGTTTCCCTACTGATTGGCAATTACGTTCTTCCTAATTTTTTTATTACTATTAAAAGTAATACTGCAGTGAATATAATTGTTTATACAAGGAGATATACTTTAATAGTGCTGTTTTAGGTGTAATAGGCTGCTTGTTGCTGAGCATATTTCAACATAGACCCGATCTTGGAGCATGTCGTTTGAGATCATGGAAGCTGCAGATGAGTAGTTAAAGCAAATGACAAGCAAGCAATTGTGAGCTGCACCAATAGTAGAACTATGGCAAATAAAGGAATTAGATACTATCCATTGTAAAACTTCTTCCAGCTTTAATGAGAAAGAGCTGCCTCGCATGCATTCGCTCAAGTTGCTAGCAAGTATACCTTTGGTTCATTGTCTTTCCTAACTCAGCAAGAGATTTCTGATCAAAGTTTCCAAGAAACCCAGAGAAGAAATCTTATCAGTATACGACCTTTGAACCCAACATCTCAACTGTTTACCATTTTTAATAAATTGTCACAATGTCTGTGCACACTGGGCCATCAAGATAAGGGAAGGGCCAGCCAAGGTTTTAAGGGCAACAGCCAACATTACCTTTTGTTTTCAAGTGGGGGAAAGTGTGACTGTTTACAATCACTTCCAAGTAAATGTTTCCTCTTTTGCTTAGTAAGCCAAAATGTGGAGCCCATGAGTTGAGAACATGAATTTATCAGCGTTTCAGGAATGTTTAAAACATAGTTGTGTCGTGTTCTTGATGACTGGGGCAGAGTGCTATCCTGGGGTTTGGTATTAGCAAGGCCCACTGCTGCCTCCCACCTAGGCCACATCCTACAGTCATTTTAGCAGTAGCAAAGCACACACTTTTTTGTCTGTCTTCTTGCCTCTCTCTGTCATTGTGTCTGAATGTAAATGAGTATCATTTTTTAGAAGCCTTCAAGTGTGAAAACAACCTCCTCTTTGTATTTTTTATTCTTATACATTGTTTGAATTTTATACTGATGAGCATGTATTGCATATAAATATATAGATATATGCCTCTAAGTATAGAGATAAGAGCTCATAAAATCTATATATATCCTTAGAGTTTTTACATAGTATTAGGATTCCCTTTGATTTATATTGTCCTTTATACTTCAGTTGCATAAAGCAATCACATTGCCTTCCAAGTTTGGAAGAGGTACTTTGGCTTGACCTACTCTATACTCTCTTGGTCATTAGACACTAGTTCTCTTGTTTCATTCATACTTTTCCTCTTCTAATTTAAACCACAGAATTTGGCTTCTTTCAAGGAGGCCACTGCCTTTCTATTCCAGTAAGTCATTTTTATTCTGACTTGGGAAAAAGCTCTCACTATTTTTCTAGGTCCCCAAGATACTTCTGCTTTAGTGACAGCCTAAGAATGATCTCAAAAGCCTTTATAGAACATCTCCCTCTTTTTTCACATCATAACCTGCAAATATATTAAATACTAGTTTTGCTCAAATCTTTTTTTTCTCCAGGCAAAATATTCCCAGTTTTTCAACTCTATGTCACATGACATGGTTTTTACTCCCTTTTGATATTTTGGCCATTCTCCTCTGAATGGGTCCTAGTTTTTGTTTGTCTGTTTGTTTTAATTCAATCCTTTATTGGGGGGATTAGATTCTTCGTTAGAACTTTTTAGATTCGTATTTGTAAACATTTAATGAGGGGGTGGAGGGGAAGGTCAAGAACAGCCCATACCATCCTTTCCCCAACTCTGTGCTAGAAGCAAGACCCAGAGCAATAGGGCTCCAGCTAGGGGTTTCCACTTGAACTTTGTCTGACTCGCTCCTGGATGGGCACTGGGTAGTGTCAGGTTGCTTTGAGAAAGCTCCTATAAGGTGTTAAAGAATGACGCCCAAGGTGGATACAGTTCTCTGGTGTGATCTAACCAAAACTAATACATTGGTGATCAGTTCACAGGGTCCATTCCTATTGGGTTTACTGTGATATAAAACACATAAATCACTTTCATCCATTCTATTGGTAAAACTTGTCAGCATATAAACATGTCAGTCACTGGTGCTACATTCAGCTCATAGACCCTCCAGCAGGGTAAGGGAAAACTAATACAAGAACTTCTTCCTTATTCCCAAGGCTTGGAAGGGAATCAACATTGATTTTCACTTATCTAGTGCAGCAAGCAAGTGGTTAGCTTTTAATTTTTTTAAATAACATATACCTGAGATACCTCTAGAATGGAATACCCAAATGGTAGGATTGTACAATTTGGAGGAATTAAAAATTTTGTAATGCAGTGTGTGAATATTTTACTGCCATTGGAAAACAAAAAAGTTATACTTCTAGTCATCACTCTTGGTTTGCTATTTTCTTGTTGCTATCTTTTCTTGTTCTTCAGAAGAAAACAGAGAATAGTTTTTGTAGCTACAATGGTGGCA